GAACATTTCCATGAGTGCATTAGTGTGTATTGGAAGAAAGAGAAGCATGGTGACTTTGAGAAATTATGGGCAACAAAGAGCTTAAGGATGGGGTTTTCTTGGTGCTCTGAATACATCCTGCTAAGAGACCACTGACTTCTCTAGTGATGGTGTAGAGAAGACTAGCCCATTGCTACTTGGGCAATGACAGATGCTAGGCTCAGTTTGAAATATATCCCTTGCCATAGTTTATTCAAACATGGCTCATTTTCTATAACAAAGAAGTAGAGTGTCAGATAATAAAATACAATGACCCACTTGCCATCCATTTTCAGGCCTGCCATGAGCTGTCTGAAACCCCATTGTATCCAATCATCTTTGGCTTCCTTAAAACTTATACTCTCAATGTGGGCATTTGCTGTTTGCCTCATTGTTCCTTGTCCACTGTCCCAAAACCAAACACATCATACAGCTGCTGATTCTTTTCAAACCACACCCAAGTCTCATAAATAGCTTTCCCCTTCATGAATGTTTTCTTCAAACGAGTAAACCCACTAATCCTTTGAGAAAACCTAAGGGACTAAGGAAGGTCTAGTCCTACAATCTTTTTTCTTCTCCAACCCATCTGTGCTGGTAACTTGTATGTCAATTTGACCTGTTACAGTTATCTGAGAGAAGGGACCTTTATTGAGAAAATGCCTTCAGAAGGACTCTTTGTAAGCAAACAGCCTGTTGGGTATTTTCTTAATTAGTGATCAATGGGAGAGACCCCGACCATTGTGGGTGAGGCTACCCCTTGGCTGGTGGTACGGGGTTCTATAAGGAAGTAGGCTGAACAAGCCATAATGAGCAAGCCAGTAAGCAGCACCCCTCAATGGTAGGCTTCAGCTCTTGCCTCCAGGTTTCTGCTTAGTCTGAGTTCTTGTCTTAACATCCCTTAGTGGACAATGATTCAGGATATGTAAGTCAAACAAGCCCTTTCCTCTCCAAGCTGCTTTTGGTCATGGTGTTTCATCACAGCAATAGTAACTCCAACTAAGACACTGCACATATGCTCCCTGAGCTCCCTGCTACCCATGTAGCTTTCACTGTACCCACATCCCCTCTGGACCTGAGCCTAAGTCATTCCTATGGTCTCTTATGATTTGGTTTTAGTTCCTTGCTGTATCTCACAGTGTGCAGATACACACACACACACACACACACACACACACACACACACACACACTATTTTGGCTTAGGACCTTTCTCAAGACAGATAAACTGAAAAGGTGAGATCGCTCAATGGGTAAAGGCACTTGCTGCCAAGTCCGAAGACCTGAGTTCACTTCCTGCTTAGACCCTCATGATAGAAAGAGACAATTGACTCCTACATGGTGTTCTCTGACCTCTGTGCACAGGTGTGTGTGTGTGTGTGTGTGTGTGTGTGTGTAAATCCTATTCATGGGAGTAGTGGTGTCTCTGACTCCTTTGCCTGATCTTGAGACCCTTATCCTCCTACTGTGTTACCTTGTCCAGCCTTGACATGAGGATTTGTACTTAGTCTTATTGCATCTTGTTATGCCATGAGTGATTGATAACCCTGAAAGGTCTGAAATTTTTTGAAGGGAAATGGAAGAGCAGTAGATGTGGGGGAGAGAAAAGGTGGTGGTGGGGAGAGGAGGCTGTGATCAGAATGTATTTTATGAGAGAAGAATAAATAAAAAGAATGTAAATAAAAAGCAATGGTGTTTGAATGAAAACAAGACAAAACAAACAAACAAACAAAATCCTAAGTTATTTCTACAGCAAATACCATAACTTTGATCCTATGCTAAAGGCCAGATCTTGGCTGGGGAGAGAATAGTCTAAGGCAGTGATTCTCAACTTTCCTAATGCTGTGACCCTTTAATATAGTTCTTCATGTTGTGCAACCCTCAACCATAAAATTATCTCATCCCTACTTAATATCTGTGATTTTACTACTGTTCTGAATCACAATGTCAATATCTGATACACAACCCCTATAAAAGTGTCGTTCATTCCCAAAGAGATCATGACCCACAGGTCTAAGAAAAGACACCTGCATCCTCTTTCATTGGCTATCAGACTTTCACATTTATTTATTTATTTATACTTACAAAATGAGTATGCTAAACAGACATACAGGAGTTGGAACTCAAAGTTGACATCCAAAGAAAAAATACAAAGGATGCCCACTATAGATTCAAGGAATGGACCGCGGGACAAAGAACTCTGGCAGGTCCAGAGCAGGTGGGGGTCTCACAGCCCACAGAATTCTTGTTCTGTTCTGATTAATTTTCTTACAAAAGTAAGGGACATTTAAGACCCCATTTTCTTTAGCATAGAATAGAGGGAACAGAGGTAACCTGGTGCACAGGACCCCTTCCCACAGAGAAGGACTGAATAGCCTGCTTCACAATTAAACAGTCACGGTTTCAGCCTCTGTGCCAAGGCTTTCTGTAAGTGTCAGACAGCCCCAGGCAGAAGGAGAAGGAAAATTGCACTTTTTTATTCCCACCCCAGGCCATATTGGTGCAACTATGAACAAATCCATCTTTTTTTTTTTTGCCAATTTTTGTTTTGTAATTTAACTGGAATGCAGAAAAGCTGACAGTAGCGTTTGGGACCTAAGCTTCTGGACAATAGAGGCTTTGAATACAGCTGGTCTGCAGTGCGTTCTTTTCCACTTTAACTTGCCCTAATGCTGCGGCCTTTTCTCTCAGATTTCTGGTTGTGGACTTTATAAAATTGAGCTCAAAGTATCCCCAAACAAAGAAGCATGTTTCCACATAAAAAATCACTTTTGTGAACTATTTTAACTATCTTTGTTTTGGAAAAACTAAACCTCTAGTTCGAGATAATCTGGGGAAATAGATACATATATATATATATATATTTTAAATATGCCAATCAGAAAAAGTTATTTTCGAATCAAAGGTGATATGATTATGAATTAGGAATTAGGAATAAATTCAGATTAAAGACAGATAATATATACCATTTCTATTAGCAGTCACATCTTCTATTAGACATAGCCTTAATTTCACATTTCAAACAGGATTTAGGAATTTCTGATACTACAATATTTATAAATATGCTGACATTTTTGGAGATTTTGACATTTAGCTTGAAATGTATTTATTATTGTAATTATTCAGAGGGAATAATTTCATAAGCGTAGTGTGCTTTGAAACATTTATGTGAAATTGAGAAGGATTTTGTTATTATTTTACTTGTGCAAACACTGAGATGAGTTTTTGTATTCATCTAAAGCAGCAATGTTTCACATGATAGTTTATTTGCACAGTTACAAAGAAACTTTAGACCCCCCAAAACTTTAGGCTGTCTTACTTTTTAAAATTTGCAGTGGGATATCTGTGCCCTATATTCTTGTAAATATCTTCAGGCTGATAAGACACGAAAATGGCTATGATATCAGTATTTCTAAACATCTTGAAGAGTCTAAAAGCTCATAAACTGATATTGACCGGGCATGAGAATATTTATATCACACAGACCATAAAAGTTACAATTTCTCCCAATGGACAATTCCTTTTAAAAATAATCAGAAACACAAGCACCATTCAGCTCACCCAGGTTCTAGAGGAAATTTGGAGAACACATAGAAAGAGAAAATTGAAACAGAAAGGAAACTACCAGGCTACAGAGAGAAGCATTTATTAAACTGATCTCAGTTCAGCAACTGCTTATTAAATAGCATTTAGTGCCTAACAGTATAAAGTATTGAGATACTGAAACATATAAATATAAAGAAAGGAGGGAGAAAGGAGAAGAAAAGAGGGAATATTAGTGCCACAAAACAAGCCTCTATCACAGGGGAGTCTGAGGAATTCGCATTATATTTCAGTAAAGGAAGTTCTTTCCAGGTCTTAGTTATTTTTTTAAAGCAAGATTTGTCACTTAATTATAAGATTAGGGCAAAGATTGAAGAACTTGGTCCGCATAGAGCATCAGCAGAGAGTTGACACTATCGTTTTCCTTTAACCACTGCTTCACCCAGCTACCCAAGTCCTCTTGGAACTGTGGGTGGGGCCTGCTCTTTCTCACTTGGCTATGAAAGATTGCTTGAGAGGAGTATCCAACAACAACTTTTATTAGTTCCTTCCTACCAACCAGATTTACTACTCATTGCATGAAAAACCACTTGAAATAGATCTGGAAACCAAAAAAAAAAAGGGGGGGGGATGGGGTGGGGTGGGGAAAACCAGCTTCCAAAAATCTTCTAAGAATGCCTACAGAAGCTTGAAATTTCCTACAAGCAATGCTTAGCATGGCTAAGGAAAGCACTCTGGGCACCATGACCATAAAAATAACAAGGCATTAAACAAGCCTCAGCCTTAACAGGCCGTAAGAGGGAGGACAGGAAAATATTCAAATTACCCCAGTCCAACTAATGGCACATTCACTCTGAAATCCATTACTCAAGGTTCTTTAGTAACCCCTAGGCCTCGTCTACATTCTGAAAAGAAGTGTGAAGTAAGGTGAGTGACGGCCATTTTCAGACTGCCCTAGAAAGGACCATACAGTCATTGCAGTTCAAGGTGAGAAAATTGGGTAAAATGAGGAGGAAATACAAGGAAGTCTGAATTCTTACTACAAATACAAATGGGCTTCCTACGATTTTCAACAAAGGAGCTTAACATGGTTGCTGTATGCATGCAGTCTGGAAAAGTCTTGCAAGTTGAGGGAGAACTGGATTGTGCGATTTGGGCCTGGAAGAATGGCCTTTAGGGATCATTTAGTCCAACCCTCAGACGATGTGAGGAACTGAGTCAAGACATATGCTGACTTGCCTCAGACAATGCAATGACCTCATGGGGTGGGGTAAGTTTAGGGCCTGGTCACCTCTTGGAGCTCTTGGAAACTGTGCCATATACTTCCGGACTGACCATAAACACAGACATTGCAGAATAGATCTGAGAGCAAATGAAGCAGCAGGCCAAGGGAGCTCCGCAGCTTCCACCCTTGATCCCAAAGGAACACATGGCTTTACTCACCAACAGGGAAGAACTCGCTCATCTTCTTCTTGTAGATCTTGAAGTCAACTTCTAGGAAGACACAGAAGATGATTCGGTCCACCTGGAGGCAAACAATAAACTCTTGAAGTTGAAGGAAATACGGCAGATGTTTACTCAAAGCAGTGTTAGAACTGCAGAGTCCAAGAATAAGAATATAGAAATATAGATCCCAGAAATAAGAATACAGAAATAAAGAAATACAAAGTTGTAAGCCTAGGAGAATGAGAGCAGGCTGTCAGCAGCTTTCTCAGCAGCTTAAGAACTAACTGTTCACAGTGGGTTACTTTGCTTTACAACCCATAGCTCTGTGGGCAAGGCTGAAGCGGCCCTCTGCAAACTGAGGGTCAACTTTCAGATGTTTTAGATAACCCTGCCTCCCTCCCACTCATGACCAGCAATGATGTAAACTGAGTCAACTTTTAAATGATGGGATACACCTGACTTTTTGGTGGTGCATTTTCCCATACCCTTCTCCTACATGAAACTGGCAATATCAGGGGAGTGCAGAGCTTTGGTGGACACCACCAAAAAGTGCCAGAGAGAAACAATGAACTAAATACAAACAATAGTTTAACAACAACAACAAAAACAAACAAACAAACAAACAAACAACTCTGTTAATGAAAATTGCAAAGAAGGACAATTTGTATCTGAGTTTTACCTCAAAATTGTAAAAGTTCCTTTGTTATTGTCTAAAGCTTGATGTTTCTTGCTATAAAAAGGTGGAGTTCAGAAACTGTCCTTTGCCACAACCTTACAAGTCCATCTCTGGCTGTGGTCTCAGCTGGGCTGATAAGTTTTATGTGTACTATGGAGATTTTTTTTAAATTTTTAGTGTTTTTCCTGGAATAAATTTTGCTTCTGGTTGAATAGACTTCGTTGGTCTATCCCCCATCTATGCGTGACCCCCTTGAACCCAACAAGAACAGATAAAGATGAATGTGAAAGCTTTGTACAGATTTTTCATGCTGGAGTATGAACCGTATCAGGTGATGTGTAAGGGTGTGTGTGTGTGTGTGTGTGTGTGTGTGTGTGTGTGTACACTTATGTGTGAGCATTCACTTGAGTGTGCATGCTCTGTTTATAAAGAATCCATGGGTGCTTCGGGGGAGAGATGCTACATAAAGAAGAAGTAAGAAATGACAGTAAACCACGTTGCAGAAGCTCTAAGTAATGCTGAGATTATGATGGGGTACCTGGACCTTATGGTCCAGCCACAGGAGAGGCAAACTGACGAGTGAGTGTCAGTGAAGCACACCAGTAAACCAAGGACTCTTTTTCCTGATCTTGTTAGACAAATACAGTGCTCAAACCCGTAATCTTTGAATGTGGCCTAAAAAGCTTCCATGAGTTTAATTTACATGAAGTCACTTGCTTCTAGCCAAACATTCAAAAAGGCTGCAGAAATTAAATGCTAGTCAACAGTAACACAGGGTCAGTGAACACTTAATTTGTATTATTAGGTAACAGTCACCTCAGAAAGAAAATGTGTGCATCATCTCCTGTGTTTTCTACTTTGAGAGAGTGTCAGCACAGATGGGCTTTCATTGAAATATTCAAGAATAATGTGTCAATGAGAAAGAAGAAATGGACTACACACAGTAGCTCAGTCGTGTCTCATATTAACTCGGGAACTCAATTTTGTGTCGGGAACATGGATATTTTTCCATTTCCTTTCATCAACAATGAGAAATAAAGTTTAGAAACACTCTCTCAAGGCACAATGGACAATTGAATAAAATATCAAAGCATTTCTTGTGGAAATGGGGAGGGTAGATGTGGGATGGACTTGAGGCAGGACAAAAAAAGAACCTAAATGGATGTCACCCACCTAACCCTTCCACTCCTCCACCATGTGGAATGCAGACCCTGCCACTCTGATGAGAGTTTTGTTCAGCAGCAGAGAAGTTCTGGTATGAGATATAGCAGTGAAATTGTGTGACATGCGCGAATCCAGAGGCACGGCTCCCTAATCCTTTCATGAGTCTCTGCCTCAACAAGGCTGGACCGCCTCCTGGCCAGTCACTGGAATTCCATTTCATAAAGAATAAACTACCTTCTGGTTGCCTCACTGACTCCCGTACAAAACAAACAAAGGAACCTGGCCTTAAAAATAATAAGACAGGGTTCAAATGAGTAGATTTCTTTTTTTCTACTTTCACTTTTGAGTAGGATGTCCAGTCCTACTTCTGTATCATTAATACTGCCTATATTCACCAAGAGTACAGGCTCCCTATCAAATCATTTTCCAGGTGAACTATAATTTTAGATCAAAGCCAGCGTTTAAGTCTGTGCATGCCCATACTCCTTATGAAATGTTTATATCCAGTGGCAAAGCCAAAACCATGTTGAATGACAACAATGTGTCGTCAAAGGACAGTTTGTATAAAGCCATTTCTACATCATTTTAAAAAACATAAAGGTAAGGATCCATCTATGAGTAATAGTAAACTATTAAAGTGCAAAGACACTGGGCAAAGTGGTCCTGCGTTCTCTTATGAGCAACCCAAAGAAAAGCAGAAAAAAGAAACTTGAACTCAACTAATCATAAGCTGACACCTAGCTCAGTTTTTCAGTGCAACAATTTGATAAGGCAGTAGTTCCACTGTGGAACAAACATCATTTTGCCTCACATCCATGTCTACCCTACAAAAGCCTCCTTATGCTCTCTGAACGGCGGTCCGCAGTGCATGCAGTCTGCCCAACCTGTGAAACACTGCTGTTCAGAACACCTCAATTCTCAGAGCATTGGGTTTCTCTTTCATGTCTTCTAACATGGTTTAAGGATGGCTGTGATTTCTGCATAGGGAAGGGATTTGAGTCATTAACATTTTAGTTATTAGAAAGTAAAGAGATTTGAGACAACATGACACATAGCTAGCAGCTAATAACTGTGTGAGTAAGTATCTGAACAAACTATTTTCTCTATTTTTTTCCATATTTGGAAATTTTCACAAAGACTCTAAAGTTGATAAGATTCCTTAACCAGACTCATTTTTCTAGCACTGCAGAACCACTTGGAGCTTCCAGAGCCCATAATTATTCTTCTGTACCTATGAGAGTTGATTTTTCCTTTATGTTTCACATGGTCATATTGCTAATAAATCATCTAGCTGTGATCAGAGGTCAAAACCAAGAAACTTTGATTTACTGAAAACCTAAGGTGACTGAGTTGAACAATCGTGTGTCCTCTCATGATGTGGGAGGTACTTTTGTCTGTGTCTTGCTTTTATTGGTTAATGAATAAAGAACTGGTTATAGTTTGGGAGGAGGAAGGCAGAGTCAGAGAGATGCCATGGAGCCACTGGAGACAGACACTGGTCGGAATTTAGCCAGTAAGCCACAGTCACATGAAGATACACAGATTAATAGAAATGGATTAAATTAATATGTAAGAGTTAGTCAATAAGAAGCTAGAGCTAATGGGCCACGCAGTGATTTAAATAATACAGTTTCTGCGTGATTATTTTGGGTCTAAGCTAGCCAGGTGGCCAAAATCCAACAAACAGTGCCCTCCTCCAATACTCTCACATTTATACTTAAGAACAACAAATCACATGATATCTTATTATTCATGTCTCTTATGTGTGTGTGCAAATGAGTATGAATGAGTATGTGTATTCTCATGGTGGGGGGCTCTTTTACTAGCAATGCTATTTTCTGCAACCAACTTCAAACACCACCAGGTTCAGATGAAGGTTATCCAAATATTGCAAGGGATCATAATCTACTTCTGGCCAGTAGGCTTGATAACCATGGGAATGGTATGGGTCCAAAATTTAACAGCCCAGTTAATTTTCCCCAGGAGAAAAAAAATAGATGCTGAAGTTTGAGAATTTTAATTTTAAAATTGTTGAATTCTCTAGCTAACTGTCCTGACTTACAGGCCTAGCACTGCTAAAAGCAGCCTACCAGCAAATTGAAGCCAAGCATTGCCTTCATTCACTATATATTGATTGCATATTTGTATTCCCTTGTGTGCATGTATTTTCTAGGGTACTATTGCATAAAGCTCCACTTAAAAAGTCTATTTTCAAAGTCATTCAAGTACTGATACTTCCTCATCCCATGGTTCTCTTTATAGTACAATGAAGACAATGGTAGTCCTCTTGCTGAGGGGTGGGATCTAAACTCCCATCTCTCAAGTCTGGGAGGCCTGTGACCATGAAGGAAAGATGTTAAGTGGCTTATGAGTGAGAAAATGCAGATTTCATCTAGTATGCTTGAGAGGACACTTCTTATGTACAAACTTCCTAACTTGTACAAGTAGCAAGAACATGCGGAGAACCCACATGTAGCTATTTTGGCCACAGCTCCAGCTGGAAAGGGGTGGCCTTTCCACGATTTCAGCCACCAGCAGATGTACATGGAGCAGAGAAGAGGTACTCAGCTAGACTCTCACTGCAAATTCATAAGCAAAGACATAGAAACATGTAATGACAGACTTGATATCTTCCCGACTACTCCTGGTACCCTTTTTGAGTCTTGCTTTTATAGCTCTTTGGTACTTTACATCTGTCGAGAAGCTCAGATTGAACAGATCACGCTGATAGAAAACACCTATGGGAGAAGATGAACACGGGATGTATAATTGCTACATGACCAAGAGACTGGGACTCTGTCTCGCATGGAGGAGGAAAGTCTTGAGTATTTCTTTCTAACCCTGGATGACTTCTAAGAGAACCTTTAACAGCTCAGAATGGTGCCACTTATTTTTTCTTAAAGCCATTGGATAATTTCACAAAATGATGGTTCTTGAGAGACCATTCATTTATCTATTATCGAGTTGCCTTCAGTTCACAGGCATAGCCCACATACCATGCCGTGTCTATGAAAACAAAAGCCCAGCAATTGAGTGGCCTTTTTGTAGTACCAGAAAATTTATTAATGATAAAACTACAAGGTTCCTCACTCGAAATCCCAAATTCTTCTCTTTGATATTACCCAGAAGGAGACTTATGCCATTGAATTTCTAGGCCTGCCCCTAGATATAGGACAGTGAATGAGTCCTCCATTTTCAAGTTGTATAATATTAAAGGATGCCATCTCCAGGGTCTCATC